AAAACCTCTGTGCATCGGTGTCTCGTGAGTGGCTAACTGTCAAGACCCCTAGGAAAGCTAACTAAATGACTCTCTTCCCATGTGCTATGACCTATGCAAGCTTCCGTAGACATCAGCTGTCTCCCGGCTAAGCTCTATCTTTCTTGAATACGAACTTAGAGGGTCTACGACGCTCCCACGTCGAGCTGTGTCAGTGGTGGGACCCGTGGGCACTACCCATAGTCCCTTACCCCCGACACACTACTCAGCATGATAAGTGTCATGCTATTAGAGTCTTCAAACAACCCACACAGACCCTACGGCAAAGGGGCACGTGTAGGTTTGATTGGCATAAAACCTTCCCAGATGTCTCCAGTACTACCCGGGACTACTCTGGGGACCCTTCCGGATAGCTCACACTCACTCCGTCAGTTTTGGTCCGTTTTACTCCCTTCTTTTTGGAGAAGGTACTTGACCTTCTCTCCTTCACCCCGTTATATATCCTGTGAACAGCTTCTGGTCGGACGGACGGCAGCAACGTATACAGTGTTATGGACATGTCTTCATGAACTCCATTTAACTAGTAAGACGGCAACTCCACCCGTTTTGGCCCATGACGCCCGTGGCAAACCCTGGGGCCGTAGGTACCTGTTAGAAATAATTCTACCAAGTTACAGCTTGTTCGAAGCACTATAGCTCCTCCCGTAGTCTTCCGATTAAAACGCAAACAAGTGTCCATTGATCGTCATTGCGTAACAAACAATCCTAACATTTCCCAAAATTCTTGCAAGAACATTTTCGACGGAAGGTAGGGTAATAGTGTCCCAAAGGTAGGGTAAGTATGTCCATGGTGACAAGAAACTGGTCTCCATGGTAGGGTAACGTGTCTTCCTTAGACAGGGTAAACTCACTCGGCCTTCTGTCCTATCCTTAGGTCAGAGCGGACATTGTCATGTTACTACCACTACTTAGGTACACCATTTCCTTAAGTACCTTCTGTTCTTAGAGATATCTTGACCATCAGATATCCCTTGGATATGCGCCTGTATACACACCTCGTCTACCATCTGACCTCTTGGTCTTATGTATGGGCATAGACGTAGGTTACCATAGCTCTATAACGTAGGGTAGTTACATAGAGGTGGGACCCTTGGGCACCACCCATGGTCCCTTACTCCTGGCACACCACTCACGGTAATAAGTATCATGCTAAGTGAGTCCTCAAACAACCCACAAAAAGCCAATGGCGAACGGGTATATGTAGGCTTGATCAGTATAAAACCTTTTCCAATATCTCCAGTACTACCCGGGACTACTCTGAGGACCCTTCTGGATAGCTCATGCTAACTCTGTCAGCTTTGGTCCATTTTACTTTGTTCTTTTGGGACAAGGTACTTGACCTTCTCACCTTGTCCCTCTTATACACCCTGCGAACAGCCTCCAGTCATCCGGACGGCAGCGATGTATATAGTATTATAGACATGTCTTCTTAGATTCCAGTTAACTAGTAAGATCGCAACTCTACCCATTTTGGCCCACGATGCCCGGGGCCAACCCTGGGGCCACAGGTACCTCTTAGCAATAGTTCTGCCAAGTTACAGCATGTTCAGAGCACTATAGCTTCTCCCATAGTCTTCCAATCAGTAGGCAAGCAAGTGCCTGTCAATTCTCATTGCATAACAAACCATCCTAACATTACCTGAAATTTCTCCCTAACTATTTCTGACGGAAGGTAGGGTAATAGTGTCCCAACGGTAGGGTAAGTATATCCATGGTGACACAAAACAGGTCCCTATGGTAGGGTAACGTGACTCTCCTAAACAGGATAAACTCAGCCAGTCTTCTGACCTATCCTTAGGCCAGATAGCACATGCTCACATTACTTCTGCTACTTAGGTACACATGTCCCTTAAGTACCTTGTGTTCTCTGGGATACCTGGACCATCAAATATCCCTCGGATATGTACCAGCATGCCTTGCTAGTCTACCCTGTAACCTCTTGGTCGTATATATAGGCATACACTTAGGTTGCCCTAGCTCTATAACGTAGGGTCGTTACAGATATCTTTCTCCGGCCAGATGTCACACGACCTCATCAGATCTGCCCCTGTAATGATCCTTGCCTCAGTGAGCTTCTGTCGGTCAGTTTCATTGTATATGTGATCAATTCCCTAAAGCCTTTTGGACTGTTCCGGGTGGAGTTCCCATTAGGAAATCTCAGTTCCTAATTGATGTCCTAGCTTTCCTATAATTGTTTTGATGCCAATGATCATGATCTGATCCATAGTCTGCATATTGTCCTGGAGTGATAGTGAGGCCATACCAGTATCAACTAAGCTTTCAGCAACCTGAACGCATTCCTGAATGTTCTTACTCTTACATGATGCTGCTATTAGCTCAAATGTATCTTCGTATGAGGAGACCTTCAGCCTCATTTTTCCCCCCACCTCACATACATATAAAGGTCAAATCCCTACTTCCTCAAACACTGTACAGAAATTAGAAAGTGTAAAGGTCTTCCCTCTCACATTTGTAACCATTTGAATAAACTAGGATTTCTTGATTCCAAGATTGACTGAGTTATAGCCTGATCGCTAGTAGTCATCCACTTTACCCAAATAGTGCTGATCGGGAGAAAACAATCCTACGTCAAGGGGTTGGAGGAGATGGGTACTATGTAATGGTAAGCAAAGGTACAAAATGTTGTGGTCAAGGCAAAATTGAACAACTTGAAAGGTAAGATGGGAGCCATAGCTATCGATGATAAGGAGCCATGGTGATCAGCTAGCTAATAGTGCTGTTTATACCTCAAAAATCTCCTCAAACCACATCCAAGCTAGTCTATCATCATTCCAGCCCTTGGGCGAGAAGCTGAACACATAATCTTTCTCTTTAGCAATCAGGTTCTCATGCCATCCCAAATACTGAGCAGCTCAATCAGAGATTATGAGTGGAGAAAAGACCAGGCCAGCCACACTAACAGTTTCTGCAACCATTACCAACTCACACCCTCCATTATGGGTAACATTAGAGTTTCTTCTGCCATGCTCGCAAAGGACTCATGCCTGAGTAGCCTATCCAAGAAGAAACTCTTTTTCATCCATATTGAAGACTTGGGAGACCTTGAAGCTATGAGTAGGAATGAGGTGGATAAGTTTGGCAAAATAGTCTTTGATGACCCATGGATCATTTGCCTGGGCTCTTTGCTGCTCAAGACTACAGCTCAACTTGACTGTGATCAAAGAGTTTTTATCAAGAAACCTTGAAAGCCAATGTTTTCCAAAAGGTGGGCCCTTCTCACCTAACCGCTTTAGTTCTAAATGAGCTACCATATCTCTTATCATTTCTAGCAACAGAGGGAAGCCTCTATCATCCATCTTGAAACACCATTTGGTAATAGCCTCTTCTTCTGCTCCTGTTAGCCCTTGTTTTTCAATATGCCCTTCCCTCCATGTCTTCTGCTCTCCTGACAGCCTATAATATAAGGTTGTTTAGGGTATCCCATATAACTCCACTGCAGCCAACACCCCACCATCCAAACCCCCCGAATTGCCCTCAAGGCCTCCTGGACTCGACTTTCCTGCTCATCTTGTTGCCGGGCTGTTGCTTGTGACATTGGTGTGATTGCTTTTCAAATTTAGTGGGTTCCTTGATGTTGGGAGCGGGGTTGATCTACCTGATGTCTCATGCTATGGGCATCATAAGTCAGTCCCGCTTCCATGTGATGTCCCGCTTCCCCGGGAATTATGTTACCAAGTCTTCCCACCGGAGCTCGACGACCTATTTGATGACAAAACCAAGAACGAGATAGAGCCTATCTCATCACTAGGCAGACATATTCTACCCGCACTGAGATTGTATAGTACCTGGCTGCGTATAAACCACTCAACCCTAACTGGCCAACTGGCGGACTCTTCTCTCTCTGTATTGATCCGGCAGCTCTGGCAGACATACGCTAATACACTTTCTCTTCTCTGTGCCACTTTTCCTATTAACCGCCTTCCAAAGCTCTCTTACCTCTTGGAGGAAGACGACGATACGATCGCCTACTTGCCCCTCAGTCAAGCATATGGCTCAACAACCTACAACTGGCACGATGAGAGGAGAGAAAGAGCACACCCGAATGATGAGATGCTAGCACGCATACTCTCGTTACTGGAGGCCGGCAGGGTACTTTGCCTTGAAGAAGTTATTACCCTTTCCACCCTTCCTCTCTACTCACCCTCCCTGCACCCAACTAACACAATGGCAGAGCATCCCAATAATCATCTCCAATACCGCAATCCTCTACCAAGAATACGGCATCTCAAGCAGCATCCCATCAACAGACATGAGCACATTCTGTCCTGCGCAAGCTCACCCCTCCACTCCAGCTTCACTCTACGGTTGCATCGACACTGCTCTGCCAGTGCACCTGGGCAACGGATACTTGCGGAGCATGGACATAGACAGGCCTAGCGAGAGTGTACTCGCACAGAGTGGTGATAGCATTGTTGGGTCAGTCGTGGGCTCTGAGACTACAATGAACAAAAGGGTGGACCTCCTGGTGGGCCCAAGAGATGCTACCCGATGTGAGGAGGAAGAGATCCTGTTTGAGGGAAAGAGGGGGTGGAGGAAGAAGGGGAAATATTATGCCGGGAATCCGGACTCTAGGCCTAGGGAGAGATCCGACCTGGCGGCCACCAGGGCGGCGAGAACCGAAGGACCCCGAGCCAATCCCGCGGGACTGGCCCCATCGGCAGAGGCCTACACAGTGAGAGACCTGGCAACCTTTGTGTAGAATTTTACCACAACGCATCAGCCTGGGGTAAGTGCTTGAGGAATTCCCCATTTGGTTTTTCTTTCCATCGATTATTCGGATTCTGAAATTGGGAATCTGGCAGGCGATCACTTTCCAAGTGCTAGGGTACGGTTCGGCAGTCTTGGAGACTTGGGGGGGCAAACTAACTTGCAAACTAGCTTCAAGATCCAACGTACCAGCCGTAGTCTACCGCTAAAATAGTCCTACACGGTTTTTTTTGTTTTGGTTAATCAATTCGTTCCCCTAACAGGTCTGAATAAAAATAAAAACTCTGGTATTTCCTTCCTCCCGCCCCTATCGATTCGAAAACCATCTTGCGGGGATGGTTCTATCTAGCAGCTACGGATAATTTCAAGCGAAACCGACCTGCCACCACTCTGTTCGGTACTTGCTTCCAATGCGCTACAACAACCGATATTATACCAGCAGGAGGTCTTTTATGGCAAACTTCCTAGATGGCCCGCCTTTCCAAAAGTTACCCAAGCCAGACTCGGTCCGCATATTATCACTTGCTTATTCACAGAAATCACCCGCATTTCTTGGACCATCCCTGGAATTGAAAAAGTGACTATTGTGTTGAAACAAACCCTGCAACACCTGCCATGCCCAGACCCGGCGAAATGTGTTGAAACCTCTCTGTATCTAACAAGCTAATCAAGCGCCGTAGACTTTCTTCCCAGAGGGATATCTGTTTGTTCCCGGGTTAGTATCACCTTCGTTGTTACGGCAAGCAAAGGAAATGCGGGATACTCACGCTGGACCAGGCTCCCTGATCCCCCAACTTGCCAACCACTGGCCCATGTCAATTGCCGTCTTCAGCTCCTTACTTTGGACGAGTCCAGCAAGAAAACCACCAGCAAAGGCATCGCTTCGAACTGTTAGCAAACCGAAATCAGCTAGTTGGCAATTATAAGACATACCCCGCTCCGTTGGTATCCACGATGTCCTTGGCCTCAATAGGCCTAACCGGGTAGACTTCAACAATAGGATTTGGGCCACCGGTGACCACAATGGTGGGATCAGTTCCCTGGGTGATGACAACGGTGCGAGGACGAGAAGAGTTTTTCTTGGGAAGACCGGCAATACTCTGGGCAATCGCGGTGATATCCTCGGTCTAGTCCTTATCCATTAAAAATTGACATCAAACGGAGGGGGTGCAGCAGGTCAAACCCCAAGCCCGTGAGATTCGGAATAAGCCAACGCCTCGGACTCGTTCCCGATCAAGTAGTCCCAGTAAGGCGCGACGGAGTCGAGCTGTTCCTTAAAGGACTGAGGCAGGAAAGGAGCCGAGAGGTTCATAGTGAAGATCTATTTCCTCCCATAGCCATGAGCCAACGGTTCAAAACATCAGTTGAAAAACAATCACGAGATACCTTGTTAGTCTCTGCAGCATGTTCTCCAAGAGCCAGGATTGCCGGAACGCAAACGGTCAAATGGTAACCACCGACGTAGTAAATCTTAGCATTCTCGACATATGACCAGACCTCGGGCGACTTAAGATGCTCCAGCTTGTAGTGGTTCGCGGCGGCAAGATCAGTAACCATGGACCTGTCATGGCCGGTGATGATAACACCGCAACGGCCAGTGGGTTGTTCCTTCTCAATGCGATATTTAGTGAGAACACCCTCTTTCACGCAAGCGCTAGTAAGGGCCTCGCCAAAGGTATCCTGGCCGGTGCATCCGACGTAGACCACAGACTTAGGAGGGAGCATATACTAAATCTCACAGAATCATCAGTTTTTCTCCATAATGGTACCCAGAAAGGTTCCTGATCACCTGAGCTCCGCGAGCAGAGTTCTGAGCAGCGCCACCAGCAAGGTACTTTGGTGAATATCCAGTAGTTATCTCCTCATATATGGGGAGGCGCTTTTCGTCAGCGAGGATAGCATCGTTAGGTTTCAATCCATATTTATCGAGGAGAGCTTGATCACTTTTAAAAGGAGTAAAGTTAGCAAAAAAATATCATGTTAAAGGATCAAGATAGAAATACCCATTGACTTGGATATCTTTTTTTTCCCGTGTCATGAGATACCGTCAGTCAATTCACCAACAGCCTCAACCAATAACCCACATTCCCCTGGAAAGACGAAGCGGGATAGAAAACTCGCAGAAACGAGCACACTAGCACATACCAAGGAGGGGGTTTCCCAAGCACAGGAGAGAATATTCCGCCATAGTTGGTGATAGCAGGACGATTGGGGAGGAAAGAATAACGGGTTGGGAAGGTTGCTGTGTTATGGAGAAGGTATTATTAGCGCGGTAGGATGGTGGGGCGGTTTGCCTTTGGCGTGGTGTCCCTGGGGTTTTAAATTTATGTTCCGGTGGGCCCCAACGTTTGCTGGGTCCGAGGTAAAGACTTAGCCCCCCGCCCCAATTACTCATTTACGATGGGATGTTGATGAGATATCCACCGCTTGCCATGAAAGAAATTTAAATTACTCTGCCTATTTGGATCATCGAAAGCAAGATGTTTAACAATTCCCTAGACGATACTGGTGGCATTGTTGTTGTCGTTTTTTTTCCTTCCTTCAAGCAACTCAAGGGGCAATACCGGTAGTAGCGGTAGGGAACGATTAGCGTTGTTGGCGCTTTAGGTAGCAGTAGATTTGTGCCACGGCTAGCGTTGTTAGCACTAAGTCACGAAAGTTGTACTCGGGCATAAGGCCTTAGATCGATGTGCCCGCCACGGCACTATTTAGTAGTACCCAGGCAATACACATACAAAACAAATATTCGCCAATTTTTTTGATAAGCAGATTGTGCCACTGGAGGACTTCCTGTCGGAATTTAGAAAAATCTGGAGTTTGGACCTAAAATCTGGATCACAGACCATTCCTGTAGAGAAAATAGTTTTCTAGACTGCTAGATAGTGATAGAATTTAGAAGGCAGGGCTAAGTACATTTGGGACAGCAGAGACAAGGCACTTGTAGTACCAACAACTGTAATCATAGTACAAGTCTCTTTATTAATATACTAGGTATCTATGTTCTTATTACATACTTGGAATATAGTAGCTATAAGGAGTACTTTGGAGCTAGACTAGGTAGTATTAAATAGAATCATACCATCAGTTAGATATTAAAAGAAACAGAAATAACAGAAATAAAATAATAATAATAATAAGTACCAAAGCTGTAATAACTATGAGAACTATATTAGAAATTGTTAGAGAATGATATATGAGTAATTTGAATTTGGAGTAGTAAGATAAAGTACCTACGCAAAAGTCATGGTGATCGTACATCCTGGCCATGGCAAGAACGGTCTGGTGTGAGTAGAGATTTTGGAATAACTTAACAACAAATCTTTTAAATGAGAAGTGATTAAAGGAGATAAAATGTAAGACCACTATTTACATATTGATGAAATAAAAAATAAAAAAAGGTATTCCTAGTATCATGTATACCACCCCTTTGCTGCAATAACTGCTTGAACTCTGTGTGGCATTGACTGTCACAAACTGTGACTAAGCTAGGCAGATTTCACATAGCTCGGATTTCCGAGTTATAGGTATGTTGGGATTTCACATGACGCACACTAGTGCGCCATAGGTTATTATGTTTACCTGTTCGTGACTCATAGTTGTGAGTCACACGATGTTATGATTTTCGCACATGACTCATACTTATAGATCATGGGTTTCACTCAGGTGACGCGAGTTGCGCACCTGACTTGGTTATAATGTTTTGATTGGTTTAGGCATGTTGCGGAGCGACTCATAGGAGTCGTCTGATGGATTTCACATGACTCATGGTTATGAGTCACAAGGTTCGTGTGACGCGAGTTGTGAGTCACGCCAGGTGAAGAGCGACTATATAAAAGGGTCACTAGGACCCCGAGTATGAGCTCTTCACATGTTCTTCTTGTTTATTTCCTACCTTTAAGTTATTATCAATAAAACCTACCTTTACGCTCTTTAAGATTTATCTTAAGAAACCCGAGAAGTGTCTTTCCTCTCACAAGAAAAGATTAAAGTCCTAGACGAGAACTAAGGAGAAGAATAAGGAGATAGGCGCGAGTATGATAGTACTCAAAGGACTAGACAATCGGGTTCGCGTAGGCATAGGCCTAAGAGCTATCACCTTACAGAGACGTATCGTTACCTGTTGCTAGGTCCTACTCGGTAGGATTCTTAACATTAGAACGTGTCTACAACGCGACACTTAACAATCACACTACGGATCCTTTCAACAGAGATTACGAGGGATACATAGACGTCCAAGACAACAGTCTAGGACTAGGAGGATTGGAAGAAGCACTTAGCGAAGCAAGCCGACACTCAGTAAGATCAACAAGTCCCGTCACCCCAGAACCAATCACTCCACCTTTGCCAGAAGAAACTCCAGACACACCAAGACCTGAAAGAATGTCGGGACCAGCACCACCACCTGGACCGCCCCCAGCGGGACCAGCCCTGTTCACTCGAGAAGAAGTACAACAGATGATACGAGAGGAATTCAGAAACAAAGAACAGAAGTCAAAAGTCGAAACGCCACCAAGATACGATGGGGAAAGAAGCAAACTACGAGGATTCATGGTCCAACTCCTCACATACTTTAATGCAGTAGGATGGAACCAAGAACACGATGACGACAAGATACGTTACACCTTAACGCTACTCGAAGGAGCAGCCCTACAGTGGGTTACTCCTATAGTGCTCAGTCAGACACCCGTACCATGGACAACCTGGGACAGCTTCAAAATCATATTTGAAGCCCAGTTCATGAATATGGAACTGAGCCAATCAGCGCGGAACAAATTGGAGGACATCAGACAAGGGACATAAAATGTTACCGATTATTGGTATGAATTCAGACTCCTCCACTACGATGCCGAATGCGACGAAGCAACAGCAATGAGGTGGTTCATGAAAGGTCTGAAGAGGACCTACCAAGAAGCCTGGAGATACAGCGAAGAAAAATTCACGACAACGGAAGCCATGGCCAGTTGGGCCATACGAAAAGAAATTCAATTCAGACAACTAGACTGGATACAAAAGAACCAGCCAGCCTCAACCCAGTCTAACCAAACATACCAGAAAAACCAAAACACCCCCAGGAACCAGAATGGGACCTATAGGACCACCACGCAAGGAGGAGATGCAATGGACTTGGACACAACAAGGAAAAGACCCTCGCTCAACCTCGGAAGAGACGAATAGCTTCGGAGACGAAACAACAACTTGTGCCTAAGATGTGGAATAGCAGAACACATGATAAAAGATTGCAGGCCGCCGGCCAACCCAAATCAAGGAAGGAGTCAACAGAACACCAGGCCAAACACCAGATTCCAACCCCGCAGCAATATCAGAGAAATTGATATCGAAGAGGAATACGAAACAGTGGCAAAAGATGAAGGTTCCCAGCAATAGATGGTCTGCGGGACCCTCCGAAAGACAAACCCATCTCGACGGCCAACTACTACACTCTTTTAAGTCAGAAAAACAATAACGACAATGATCATATCATTATCGAAACCACAATATACAATGACAAAAAACAAGCAATCAGGATACATGCGATGCTCGACTCAGGAGCAACAGAAGACTTTATAGACGAAGAAGTCTGCAAGAAATACCAGTTAAGGACCAAGAAAATGAAGAAAGAAAGGCAGATTTACCTCGTAGAGGGAAAACCCAGCGATATGGGGCCAATCACCCATACGACGCAAGTACCTATGAACATTGGGAATCATAGGGAAGTGGCGACCTTCCAAGTGGCAAATCTGCAAGACCATGAGATAAGCCTAGGGATGCCATGGTTACGACAATACAACCCTACCATCAGTTGGGAAGAAGGAAAGGTTGCGTTTACGAGCGAACGATCTACGACATGGTGTCTCAACAGCTCGCGGGTAATATACGCAAAACCAGAAGAAGAAGCAATCCAAGAGAACCTAGACGCGAGGTTCAATCAAGTTCAACCAAGGAAGAATCCAAGGATCCAAGTCAAGAAGCTAAGCCAAGAAGCAAAGATACCCACAAGAGGATCCGAGAGGGCAGCAGGACATGACCTGTATGCCAATGAAGAAGTTAAGATACCGGCCAATGGGCAGGTAATTATTCCGACGGGCATATCCATTGAGTTACCTCGAGGAACCTATGGGCGTATAGCACCACGCAGCGGTCTACCAGTGAAACACAGACTCACTACCAATGCTGGAGTAACAGATGCTGACAATACAGGTGAATTGAAGGTAGTTATGGTCAACCAGGACAACAAAGACTATATGGTGAAAAGAGGCCATAAGATCGCGCAACTGATTATCGAAAAAATCAATGAGGAGGAACTCCAAGAAGTGGAGAACCTGACCAAAACAACCAGAGGAACCAAAGGATTGGGCAGCACAGACCAGACACAAGAAAAAGCACCAAGGATCGAAATCAACAGGATATCGGCGCAAGCATTTGGGAAATTCTATCGCAAGGAAGAAACGGCAGGAATTCTGAAATGGGATTATCAAAATCCAGGAACAAGCCTAGCAAAGATCAATATCAGTACAGAGCTAGCCATAAGAAGTCGACCGCAGACCAAGGACAAAAAACTAGACCAATTGGGACCCAAGGAATACCATCAACATCTAGACTTGTTCCAAGAAAAGGAATCAACCAAGTTACCTCCCCACAGGCCAGATGTCGATTTGGAAATCAATTTCGAAGAAGCAAGCAAAGGACTACCTCAGAAGAGAATATACCTGCTAGGAGAAACAGAACTCGAAGAACTAAGAAAATACATTCAACAGAACCTGGAAAGAGGATGGATTCAGCCATCCTACGCCAACGGAGGATCACCCATCCTGTTTATCAAAAAGAAAGATGGAAAACTAAGGTTGTGCATTGATTACCGAGCACTCAATCACATAACAAAAAAGGATAGATATCCCCTACCTCTAATAGGAGAAGCATTGGATCGACTGGCGTCAGCCAAATACTTCACCAAACTGGACATTCGGGATGACTATCACAATGTCAGAATCAAGAAAGAAGATGAATGGAAAACAACATTCGCAACGAAATATGGGACCTACCAATACTTAGTTATGCCATTCGGACTAACTAATGCACCCGCCTCGTTCCAACGATGGATCAACAAAGTACTCCACAAGTACCTGGATATATGTTGTATCGTCTACTTGGACGATGTACTAATGTACTCCAAAGATATGAATCAACACCGAAAA